TTTAGCCGCTGGGTGGGGGGGGGCCGAGGACGCTGTTTCAGCGCGTATCACACGATGCAAAAACGGGGAAAGGTTATGATAAACTCAACATAACGATTGAACTGACCTTTTGCATACGCTTTTTACCTAAAGAAGTGCATTTACTCCTGAAACTTTTATTGCATTCGCGTGTTTGCAACCCACGATGAGTATTACATAAAGGGACATTATATTTTAAAGGCGAAATTACAGAACTGACCTACAACAAGGTTATTCCATCTGTCAGCGCCACGTAGCATTTACGTGGGAAAATCATATACTTGTCATCACGCACACGAGACAAAACAGAAACTTAAAACCCAACACAATTCTTCAACAAACTTCAAACTTCCGATAACAGACCGTGGTTGGCAATCCTGCTTCGCATTCGGGAAACTTCCTGATTGAAATCGTGGCCCGGAGACCCATAGTTTTCCTCAGAACCTCCAGGATAATGCATTAAATAAGGCTACGACCATTCATTATTCATTCGATATACCGATCTGATACAGTCATCGTCAAATTAAAAAGAATTCAAATCCGCCACAAAATTCGTGAAATTCAAAGGGCAAAAATGTAACACGTGAAGTCTATCTGATAACCGCAGATGTCACAAGCTAACACACGTCACTCTGTTTCGAAAGGAAAAATGCTGCTCTCGTGAAAACCGAGATTTAACAAAATCCCATCACTGGACCCGATCCTGAGCCAGCTGAATACATCTCACTCATTCCCATTGTTTCTCATAGATTCATTTTATTATTATCTTGAAACTTTCGCCTGACTTTCTTAACGCCATCTCTTACGTCCAAGTCTTTGAATCAATATTTTACACGCATCTCGTAAACAATTTGCCATGAGAACCCGAAGGTTCACTAAATCCAGCAGTGTGGCACCACCCACCCAACCAACAGAACAGAGTCCTTGTTCAAAACCTAACAGTACGCCCAGATAGTATTTTTTATTTTGAAACCAAAATTCATTGCTGTATTCACAACGGCCCGCCACCGGTGCCCACCTGAGTCGGATTAATTCAATCCGCATCCGTTTCTTCAACACCCATTTTAATATTATACTTTCATGTACGACTACGCTTCAGGAGTGAGCTATTCCTCCGGGTTGTGTGGCTGGCACATTCTCTGTGGTCGGACCTTGGTTTATTTGGACAGTCACCGTTTCGGCTGCATTCCTCGGCCTGCACAGAGTGGAATGTTATTTATACGATAATTCGTGTGCTCAAACTACTAAGCCGTTACATTAGAATTTTGTCTGTGATCAATGCCTGTTCACAAACCGTTACCACTTGGTGTTATTTAAAACACAAGACTCTATTTCAATATGAGGTCTGAGGTTCTCATGTTGGCAGAAAAGTGAATTGTGATCCTCGGGGTTATAACGGACGCAGCCTCGGAGGTTCTCGCGAATAATTCAGAGGCACCTATGACCTCAGTTATCCACCATGAAGAAGGAAACGATATGCTTAACCGAAACGCGCGTTAACTACTTACAAGACTACAGTGACAGTAGATTGGACCTCACAAGATCACGGCCTGTTTCGATATTTCCGGAAGACGTCATCAATTTCTGCGCTGTCTGAAACAGCGAGTAGTGGAACAAACTCGGGCATCGAATCTCGGACACACACACAGTCTGGAGCAGACTAAATCTCCGGAAATACTGCTCTAAACGTCAATCTTTGTTTTGTGTACCACGGAGCTCGTTTCGCGGCAGCGCATTCAAATCTTCCAAAGGCTGTCAAGTCTCCACGCGAGTCTGAATACAGTTATTCACTGGCACGGAAGTCCTCGGAGCGACCCCTGTTGCCGGCAATCCTGACTCATTCATCGTTCTCCCACTACAACTTTATTCTTCCGTGTGTTGTTTATTTAACGACGCTCAGATTGCACAGCGTCGGATACGACTGATGCCGGAAAGGTCGTGGAAGGAAGCAGTCGTGGCCTATTTTAAGGTAACATCCCAGCATTTGCATAGTGAATGAGAATAACCACGACAAATCCTCAGCCAGGATCGCCGGTCACCAACTATGAACCCGGGACCTCTCAAATATCTTCGACCGGCATGTTCAACCTCAATCTTTACGAGGGGCGCAGAGTGTGTGTCGCGTAGACCTCTGAATGTGTGCGCATGCGTGTACGAGCTATGTAGGTCTATATGTGTGTTTGTAGGTCTGCGTATGTGTACGTATCGGCGCTCCACACAGAGGAAGCCGACGATGGAAGAGTCTCCAGAATGCAAAGCGAACTAGCACCAGAGGAAAGAAACAATTCGCACAATGCAAATAAACCAATAAACAGCGAGTGCTCGACAGCCACAGCGAATGGCTGGAGCCTTACCTCCACAGTGGCGGAGCAACGACGTAGCCCGCCAACAGCTTGGGAGCTAACGATCAGTGACCCCTGCTCAGTGCACAGAGAGACCGGCCCAACTTTTACGACCAGGCCATCTCTTCTTTGATCTACCAACGCCACTACTTCCAATTTCACCTCCCAATTTATTCTCATCATTCAAGTTCATGTTGCATTTGCCTAAAGACAAGGCTACGGGGCGCATGGCCGGCGTTTGAATCCCGGGAGTGGTAGAATTATTTCTCATTACTGGGTTCAAAGCGGGAGACCAAAACTCGGTGGAGTAATCGCCGATATCCAGAACGCAAGAGACGTAACAGGAGGATGGACAATGAGGAAGTTCATAAGTTTCAACATCGCAGAAGACAGCCATCTTCTTTCTGTGGATTAAAACTCTCAGCCTTCCAATGAGAAGCCATATCGAGAGGTTTCACGCACTAAAAGAGCTAAAACATCGAAAGATGCGCCCATGACTTCGTGTCTACCGCCAGGCCTCTGTCTCCCCTTAAGAAGTTTGACCTGGTAAGGGCAGCTTTTAGAGCCGACCTTGCTACTGGAGGCTGCTTCCAAGTCACGGACGTCACACGGAACACCCCAATGGACGAAGCGACTCGGTGAATGTTCACTTCCCGTTAATACTTCACGCTCAGGATACACGATGCGACATTTAGAGCTCTGTCCTATAGAAGTTTCTCGAACACCTGCCTAGATATTCTCATACGGATGAAACACATGACAGACGTGGTTAGTCACAGAGGTCAGAATAGGACGATGTTTGTAAGACGCGGTCGTCTAATGGAATTCAGAAACACATCTGTTAAACAGTAGCCAATTTCATGAATTTCAGTGAAAATATCGTGACAAATAATTGCTAAAACCAGGTAAATTTCTTGTATCTTTATCCGTGAATTCACACACATAAGTTCGTAAATTCTGCAGCGAATAAGTTTTCAAAACAGCCACTTTTAAAGATGACAGAGTCATTTAATCTCTATAGCAAGAAATCACATACAGCATGAATTAACTTCATTGCATCTTGTGGCCACGTTCAATTTGAGACCTCATATGAGGGCAATGTGTTAACACATACGATGCAGATCGTGTCTGTACGTATATATACAAATATTGCGTGAGCGACGTACTGGAAATTAGCGACACTCTGTAGTTGAGGTCTGTACCAGTTCCAATAACAAAATTCGCGATATGATCCATTATTTTCGATTTGAACAATTACAATTAATTTTCAATGAATTTCGACAGATAATTTAGTACAATTCATTAATATGGCTATAAATAAAACGTAATTTTCATATTGACGGAGCCATAACATGGAATATCCATGCTTGCAGCCAAGTACGGATCCACACAAACAAAGTCCTGTTCCTTCACACCCCCAAAGTTTCGTTAAACGAAAAGGAATTCGTAATAAACAAATGAGAGTAGCATAAAGGCAACGACCTCTGTCAGATCCCCCCCCCCCCTCACGGCCTATATTTCCCCACCACTCGGTCCAGAGAATAAGAAGAAGAAGTTACATTGCACAACCTGAATGCCTCTCTCCTGCCATTGAACTTCAAGCAAACTACAATCGAAAACTATTCTCTCCTTCCCGCCACATAAAATTTCAGCTTCTTCGAACCCTGCATATCCGGGTTGCGCTTTGCCATATTTTATTCCTCGTACCCCGGTAACCATACGTACCACATGCACAAACACACACACAGATTACATTGGATTCGTCTGATTCTCACTGTAAACAGCGATTAATTCCTTAAACGGAGTTAACCAGTTGATCTTCGTAAACGTAAAGCGTTCCGTTTTCTTTGCGGTACGGACTGAATCCTTAATATTATTTGGGTCAACATGGAGCTTCAAATGCTTTAAATAATTCGTATACCACCAAGAAAGGCTTGATATTACACCGTACGACCATAATTTTGTGTTATCCTGCAGTATTTTATCCTGCTCTCACCTCCAACCTCGTCATTTCCAGTTACTCGTAGACGCCTTACTGAAACCCAGGGCCCGGACACTGAAAATTTTCCGAACCAGCGTCCGGTCAATTTCAACGGCTTTGTTCCTAACAATAACTCTTAAGTGATTTTGCTGTTACTCTAATATGTGTCTTGTCGCGGATAAATTATCTGCAAGACAAACAAACACACCTGGTTCAATGTTCTGAAATTAGAAGGATTCTGGTACCGTATACCAACTCGATATGACATTACGCACTGCGAATGCTTTGGAATGAGAATTACATTAACAATTCTTAAGGCAAATGCGGTTATCAGTAGAAGGTGGCCAGTTTGATATATTTACGTCATCGGATTGAGAAGATTCCTCAAGCTCTGTGTAATAAGCGACATTTGTACTTGTTTCATTCGTTCTTGCACAAATCTCATCGTACGAAACGTTACGTTGTGAGAGAGAACGATATTAAATGTGCGTCAATTGCTTTAAAAACTACGTATTGACGCCAAGGACAGGCACTGTACCATTCGCATTTGCACCTCGTCAACTCGACTGCCAAACATTACGGAAGTAATGGACGTCCAGTGTCACTCGCATCTGCGTCCCGCAACGATTAGATGATAAGAAGTCGACATTGTCACTTACCATCCTCTGCACGAATATCTGCAAAATTATCCACACTGACGTTTCGATAACATTCTCGTTGAATACCTCAACCACCACACGGCACACAGACTTCAAGAACGTGGAACATTAATTCACAGTTTTCATCAAAAGTACAAAACTCTACACTCTGATCACTGTTTTTGAGGTTATGAACTTAGATGCACCTTCACAACTAATTCGAACGGTGATGTTTCGCAAAACTCCCGACGTTTTAACCCTTCTTACAACAAATATCGTCAGTGTTGGATCAGTTACGACACTGGGAGAGCACATTCGAGTCTGTAAATCTCCTCCTTCTATGGCGACACATTACAGCACTGCCATTTCATTCCGAGTTATCCGTCACATGCGTTTTCAGTACTTAGCAACAAATCGCTCGCGTTCTTTACGGCCGGCACAACTGCTCTTGGCCTCTCTCGAGTGCCTACCTGCCCATGGCCGCCTGCCTTCACCTTGAACACTTCCCCTGGTGGTAACTTCTGGTACCACCAACAGCCAACGGGACTCGGCAGCAGTGAGTGACCTCTAAATTATGTTTTCAGCGTGTATACGATGTCTTTAACATGTGTTAAGTAAATCGAACATTAAATATTGATTCGTATTTAAAAATATGACTTCAGATGACAAATACGTCACATTTATAATATCTTGTTGCACGTCTCTGGTCAATGAACAGTTGAACTGCAGAATTATTATGGCCGTGCTGTATGGAACACAATTTGCTGTTTTGTCGAGAGGTTTATGAGAGGTTCGCAACGAGGAGGCGTTTCTTAACCGTGGAATGTATTGAGGATCAGAGTCCGAAACTGCGTACGAACCCAAGCGTCAATATAATGGATTTTAGAAGTTAAACGAAGACGGTCACTTCAACATCGAAGATGGTGACCACCACAAATACTAAGTGCGTCAATATTCAGAAGACTACGACATAACAAATATATAATGTAGTAACTCCATGGAGGTCAGTCCCTTTTTGAGAAGCTAACAGTCGTTCAGCTGGTCAAGGAATTTCTCTCCAGAAACATTAAGGTTCGTTTAGTAGGGGCCAAAGTGGGTAATGTTGCACTGTGAAGTCCTCGTCATAGTTTAGCTTTGCATTGGTCCTCTGGTGGCGACAGCTTTAACGTCGGTCAAATGAGGACAAGAAGGAATTCTGGCATCAGACGCACTGGTCTGCAATCCGCGAAATTCCATTACAGCGACGTACTATTTAGTGACCCGTTCTCTGTATGACTTAAAAACTATCACAGAGTACGCAAAACTGCCAGACACGGGCGACTTATCTTTGTTTCGAGTGCCAATGCCTGACAAGTGTAAAAACTTTACATGCAGAGTTTTGAGGTCCACGCCTTGCTCCAATGGTTCATTAGGTAACCATCTCCATTAAACTCTGTCCTTCCTCAGTCAAGAACCTGGCCGCCTTTGATGGGACTCGACGGTTCGTGACAGAGTTCACAACAGCCCACTACCGGCCCCAGCTTCGAGCCAAATAAATAATGTGCACACCCTACGACCATATTTCCCTGGAAATAATTTTAATATTATCCTCGGATCGACGAAAGGTTCTTTGGTTGTCGTCGTAAAACTGAAAGCAAAATGCAGCCTACATTTATTTTGTTTTACTCTCAGACTAATAACGTACTGTCTGTCCATTTAAAAATGGAACAGCAAAACCACGATCGACGCCTGGCTTGCATTAACATATCTGTTCATAAATTATGCCTATTAAGGCCATCAGCCTAAAGAACCTAACCTTAAAGTACCCAAAACAGCCTAACCCAAAACGCAAATTAATCCAATGCAACTTATCCCAATCAAACTTAAACGAATCCAAAATAACCGACCCGCATAGGATCAAACCCACCACCGCTTAAGGACTTTCACATAACCTTCCAGGACTTCTCCAGCACTTCTACTGGATTTCTCCAGCAATTCTATTGGATTTCTCCAGCAATTCTCCAGGACCAAAAAAATTCCGCAAAACCTCCCCAGGACTTCTCCGGTACTACTCTAGGACTTATCATTGGGCTGTTGTATCCTGAGCCAGATGAATCCAGTCCACACCCCGTACACTCGTCCTTTAAGACCCGTTCTAAGATCATTCTAACATGTGTGACAACGCCTTCCAGTCACGTGATGGAAAATGCCGATGCTAATGCCAATGACACGGCGTCACAACTATTGCACCCCCGACCCCAAAGCGGTGGCAGAGCTGTGGATGGCGAGGCGCCTTTACTGAAGAACGAGTTGAGGCAGCGAGCCCCAACGTGGCCTGCCTATACGACACCAACCAGGATCATCCCGGTAGCTGACAACGTGGGCGATGGTGCCGAAGTGCGTATTGAGTAAGAGTCGATGACAATCTTCGGCTGTCAGCTACAAGCAATCTGCCAGTTGCAAAATTAAGTAAGATGGTGAGATGGGCGAGGCATGAAGCACGCGTTAGAGAAATGAGAAACTCACAGGCCTAGCAGAAGAATGCTGCACCTAATTGTAAATGGGAAGATAATATTAAAATAGACGTGGCTGAACTCATGTGGCGCAGGTCATGGACCTCCTATAATCTCAGACCTGATTCAGCACAGAGGGACAACAGTAATGGAGTAGAACACGGCAAAGAGATTGGGAGGACTTGCAGATTCTGCTGGTCTAATAATTATTTAATTAACACACACTACACGTGACAAAACAACCGCGGTGGATCGACCACCTCCTACAGATATCGATAGTAAATGAGTCATGATTCCGAGATCGACTGATTACGAACGAAGACGCTCTTGTCACAGGTTTCCGAGTATGAGAGAAAACACTCGAACTGGAATAACAGCAGACACATCACCGCTCTACTTTCTCAACTTACGTCCTGTGACGTCACACAGCGAGCAGGTCAACGAACCTTCATTAGGGTAACCTCATGTGTAACGTTTCAGTGGCGTGGACACCCGCTGCTTTATAACCTGGGGACCGCAAGGCGAACGCGAACCTCTTCATACCAACTAGCCAACTAATTAACCAACAAACACCACGGAGCAGAGTCCTTCTTCAGAAGCCAAAGTTTCTTTATTTGTCCACAAGAGCCAGGCGCTGGTCCCTGGCCTGGGCCAAATTAATCTAATTTACACCCTCGATCCATTTTAATATTATCCTTCCATCTACGCCTAGGTCTTCCCAGTGGTCCCTTCCCTTCGTGCCTTCCAACCAAAACGTACGAGTCCACCTTATCGTCCATTCGATATCTAGTGAAAAGGATGAAATTTTCCCCACAGTTTACAAAACTAAACTCAGGATTCTGTACCCCGGGTAGAGCTTCGACACAAAAATCAAAGCGTGAACGAACAAGAGCCACAGAACAGCTACCTGGATGGCAACAGTCAGCGTCAAGACGAGCCTCTTCAACGGGGGTGCCTCGATAAAAACTGTCCAGCTGACGAGTCACTCAGTGGACACATTAACGTCGGTGGTAACACTGACCCGCAGTCTCCCTCGACTCAGGGTGACGATAACCTTTCGGTATGCGAGTCGCATTAAGTACCATGCCCTGCAGGCGTATAGGGGAATGGAGGTACAGCTCCACGCATGCTTGACGTTGGGCGGAAGGCGAGAGAACAAATTAGTCGCCTCATACATTCTATTATACAACGCGTTTCGACACATTCGCGAGCTAGAGGCGACTCAAACACACAGTTTGAGTAACGGATGAATAAGGCGCACCTTCCAAGCCGCTGTCGCTACTGGCAAATGATGACGTCACGTAACAAGACTACGAAGAAACTATCTTCGTGTTGCTATTTACGATCTACGTATTTCTCATCTCCGTACTTGCATTTATAATGGACCTACGGTGCGCTGTTTCAGTTAGAGACTCAGATCGACGAAAGGTTCTTTGGTTGTCGTCGTAAAACTGAAAGCAAAATGCAGCCTACATTTATTTTGTTTTACTCTCAGACTAATAACGTACTGTCTGTCCATTTAAAAATGGAACAGCAAAACCACGATCGACGCCTGGCTTGCATTAACATATCTGTTCATAAATTATGCCTATTAAGGCCATCAGCCTAAAGAACCTAACCTTAAAGTACCCAAAACAGCCTAACCCAAAACGCAAATTAATCCAATGCAACTTATCCCAATCAAACTTAAACGAATCCAAAATAACCGACCCGCATAGGATCAAACCCACCACCGCTTAAGGACTTTCACATAACCTTCCAGGACTTCTCCAGCACTTCTACTGGATTTCTCCAGCAATTCTATTGGATTTCTCCAGCAATTCTCCAGGACCAAAAAAATTCCGCAAAACCTCCCCAGGACTTCTCCGGTACTACTCTAGGACTTATCATTGGGCTGTTGTATCCTGAGCCAGATGAATCCAGTCCACACCCCGTACACTCGTCCTTTAAGACCCGTTCTAAGATCATTCTAACATGTGTGACAACGCCTTCCAGTCACGTGATGGAAAATGCCGATGCTAATGCCAATGACACGGCGTCACAACTATTGCACCCCCGACCCCAAAGCGGTGGCAGAGCTGTGGATGGCGAGGCGCCTTTACTGAAGAACGAGTTGAGGCAGCGAGCCCCAACGTGGCCTGCCTATACGACACCAACCAGGATCATCCCGGTAGCTGACAACGTGGGCGATGGTGCCGAAGTGCGTATTGAGTAAGAGTCGATGACAATCTTCGGCTGTCAGCTACAAGCAATCTGCCAGTTGCAAAATTAAGTAAGATGGTGAGATGGGCGAGGCATGAAGCACGCGTTAGAGAAATGAGAAACTCACAGGCCTAGCAGAAGAATGCTGCACCTAATTGTAAATGGGAAGATAATATTAAAATAGACGTGGCTGAACTCATGTGGCGCAGGTCATGGACCTCCTATAATCTCAGACCTGATTCAGCACAGAGGGACAACAGTAATGGAGTAGAACACGGCAAAGAGATTGGGAGGACTTGCAGATTCTGCTGGTCTAATAATTATTTAATTAACACACACTACACGTGACAAAACAACCGCGGTGGATCGACCACCTCCTACAGATATCGATAGTAAATGAGTCATGATTCCGAGATCGACTGATTACGAACGAAGACGCTCTTGTCACAGGTTTCCGAGTATGAGAGAAAACACTCGAACTGGAATAACAGCAGACACATCACCGCTCTACTTTCTCAACTTACGTCCTGTGACGTCACACAGCGAGCAGGTCAACGAACCTTCATTAGGGTAACCTCATGTGTAACGTTTCAGTGGCGTGGACACCCGCTGCTTTATAACCTGGGGACCGCAAGGCGAACGCGAACCTCTTCATACCAACTAGCCAACTAATTAACCAACAAACACCACGGAGCAGAGTCCTTCTTCAGAAGCCAAAGTTTCTTTATTTGTCCACAAGAGCCAGGCGCTGGTCCCTGGCCTGGGCCAAATTAATCTAATTTACACC